GGCGCCGCTCCCCTTGCCCAGATGGGATCCCCCCACCCCGCCAGCAGGGGGCGCCGCTCCCCTTGCCCGGATTTGATCCCAAATAATAAACAATCCCCAGCTGTTGCCCCTAAGAAGAGGCAAGCTTGGCTGAGATGATGTGCATCAGCAAGCACAAACCAAGCCATATTTTGGCTGCTGTAAATGCACTGCAGAACATTCAGGATAAATCCTAATCTCCCTCCCCTCTTCATAGGCACAGGACTTGTCTAGACTGGGAAAACAAGTGGTATTTTATAACACAGTAACTCATTTGCTTATACATTATATACTCTACACATTCTCCAAGTCTACCCAAGACCACAGTTGGCCTTGAGCGCAAAGGTGGCTGGTACAAAACCACCCTACAGAAGGAAGATATGAGGAGCCTGCAAAGTAACACACCTCTCCTATGAACCCACAGTCCTGCCAGGGGCTCCTTTTGCCCCAGACTGCAGGAAGGATTGAGAGATGACCTGTCATTAGAGCCAGTGGATTTGTAATTATGCAGGTTCAACTTCCATTACCCCTGGGGAAGCAGTAGCATGGCATGAAGAGAGAATCCCTTCTTCTCCAACCCTTCCAATTCATCACAGTACAAAGCCCAAAAAATCAGTAGTGCCCTGCAAACAGGATTTGGTTTTCCTTAAACATGTCTAATTCCTACTGAAGTGTTGTTACCCAAGAAATGAAATATTTAACTCCACAAACAGAAGTGATGGAAACGTTCCTACTGTTGTGCATTTTGCTAAGTATAGCCACCGCAATGACTGTTGAAACTCAGTTAACTTCACTGGGTCAAACACTGTGTGGGCAAGCATTCCCATAATGCATTGCACTATAGAGGTACCTCAAAATATACAACAATTACTCTCCTTACCTCCGATAAAAGCAATATATTACCTGCTAAAGCCATTTTCAATTCTTTCAATGTCTTCATCAGTGGTCCTAACGGACACCCTGTGCATTGCAGGGTAGGAGTTCTGGGTGTTGATTTTAGCCATTGTGTTTTACATATCAGCATCCAAATGACAGCTAAAACACAAGAATAACATTTTTAAGGACGCAACAGAGATAAAATTGGTTAAATATTTAAAAAGTAATTTGTTAAAAAAATTATGTTAGTAGTTTGTAAAAAGATCTTTAATGTAAAAAGATCTGTAATGATCTTCATAAATGTAATGTGACCACTACTTGGTACATTTAAACTACACAGGGCAGAACATTTGTGAATGTCAATAAAAGATAATCCTGCATTGGCAGAGAAAAGGACTTGATGATTTAATAAGTCTACTTACTGACACACATATTTTATATAATAAAATTACATTCAAACTCTTGTTAAGGAAACATTCAGGTTGAAAAGTCAAGCAAAATAAGTTAGGTAAAGCCTAAATTAAAGTTACCTGTGCAATTTGAATTTGTCCCTCCCTCCCTGCCTGCCTGCTATTCTGTTTCCTCCACACATGTTCCATCTCCTACACTCCCTATCACACAAACAGGCACACACTCCCATCGTACCCCACTTCTGGCTCCTGCCCGTCCCCTGCATCCACTACAATTTCACTCCATCTGTTGCAGATCCCAGCTATTGTTCCCCTCTTACCAGTGAGCTCCTGACCTTTTTCCCAACCTCCCCAGACCCATTCATCCCCTTCATCATCTCTCTGCATTCTGGTCAGATTGCTTCCTCTTTCTCCACCACAATTTCTGTGGAGACCATGGAGAGCACAGGAGGAACTTCCACTGGTTGCAGTTCCTGGCCAATGGGAGCTGCAGAACGAGTGCTCAGGACATGGACAATATACAAGAGTTTCCCTGGCTTCCCATATGCCTAGGAGGTGCAAGGAACTGCCAGCTGCAGCCCAGGAGCCATGTGGAGTCAGGGCAGGTAGGGAGCCTGCCTTAGCCCCTCTATACTGCTGATCAGACATTTTACGGTCTGGTCACCAGTGCCAACTGAGCCACCAGGATCCCTGTTTGACGAGGCATTTCCCATCGAAAACCAGATATCTGGCCATCCTACTAGTATCTGTGAGGAGATGGAACATGCTCAGTATGGACAGAATCTTTGAAGAATTTATCTGCCAAACTCTAACATCTCTACTGAACATGGACAACTGAAATGTTTTTGAAGGCCTTATAATTTGGCCAAATTACAATAGGAATGGAAAAAGGAATATCTCTGACACAACTGTCACTTAGCCCAATTTCAAGTCCTTGCTCCAGAGCATGGAGGAACTAGAGTTTCTCAGTGAAACTTACAGGCTGTGTCTAGACTGGCCAGTTTTTCCAAAAAATCAGCCGCTTTTCCAGAAAAACTTGCCAGCTGTCTACACTGGCCGCTTGAATTTCCACAAAAGCCCTGACGATCTCATGTAAGATTGTGGGGCTTCCTGCGGAAATACGATGCTGCTCCCGTTGGGGCAAAAGTCCCATTTGTGCAAAACTTTTGCGTAAAAGGGCCAGTGTAGACGGCTCAGATTTGTTTTCCGCAAAAAAAGCCCCGATGGCGAAAATGGGGATCGGGGCTTTTTTGCACAAAAGCGCGTCTAGATTGGCCACGGACGCTTTTCCGCAAAAAGTGCGTTTGCAGAAAAGCGTCCGTGCCGATCTAGATGCTCTTTTCCGCAAATGCTTTTAATGGAAAAACTTTTCCATTAAAAGCATTAGACGCTCTTTTCCGAAAAGATGTTAAAAGCATTTCCGGAAAATCATGCCAGTCTAGACACAGCCCGTAGGTAAACCTCAAGTGATCCCTGCCCTGGCACCCATCCCAGCTTCTGGCAAACAGAGGCTAGGGACCCCATCCCTGCTCATCCTGGCTAATAGCCATTACTGCACCTATCCCAGGTTTGGCCTGTTCACCTGCATGTCTACTAATGTGATGTCATTAGCAGGGCTTGACAAACCCCAGTGAGAGCCACTTGCCAGCCCCGCACTGCGCATGCACAAAGCGCTGATGAATGGGGCGCTCGGAGCAACCTGCTGAAATCTACTCGCCACGGGCAAGTAGATTCAGCGGTTTGTTGAGCCCTAGTCATTAGCATGGATGTATGAACAGAGGTGGCAATGGGGTTTGTTGCAGAGATTGGTTCCTGGGTTAGTATTTCCGGTGTGGCTGGTGATTAGTTACATTTCAAATAGCTACAGACTGGAAAAAAATGGGCAGAACTAAACATCTGCAATTACACTACCCATCAAAATTATACAAACTAAAAATTAACTTTCTGCCAAACTTTTAAATATTGTCACAGCACTTAGCCTTAGTCGTGGAACAGGATGGACTCCCCATGCTATAAAACGAGAGCCTTCTCTCCATGGTGTTCTAGTCTGCACAGCTAGGCAGTTTGCAGACAGACATTTCATCCCTGCACTTGATGGAACCTCTCTCATATACACCTATAGTGCCCTGGAAGAAGCAGTTTTATTTTCTAAATAGCTTTTGACACATACAGAGGATTTTTTTTCCTAGCATGTGATGTATAAAATTGTTCTCTCTGACTTTCTCATGCACATAAGGAAATTCAAGAGATGTACACAGAATTAAGAGTGTTGTCAAATTCCAAGATGATAGTTTGATCTCCTCCCACTTAACTACATGTGCACTTTCCACAGGAGGGATTACTGTTTTTCTTTAATGATTTTTTAAAAACACTTTTAGGGTTATTAAGGCATAAAAAAGTTCTCTTGTAATCATATTAAAATGATTAATTACACTGATGTATGCAACACACTGCTGTATCCAAAGAATTATTCAAACCACTACACAGCAATCCCAAATTGTCATTTCTATCATGTACCTTTTTTCTTCCTTTCTACTTTTTTCAGAAATCCTAGATACACATTAAAAATATAGAATAGTGATAGAAATGTAGT